AAAAAAAAAAAAAAAAGCTAGAGTAACTTTCCACTAGTTAAAATTGAACTTCATAAAACATAAACATTTTATAAACCCTACAATTTGGGTAATTTGATTTAATTATGACTAATCTGTAGGAATATACAATACAGATTTGTCAGTCATCCACAATTAAGAACATCTATGAATAAAAACTTTATTTATGTTCAGAATACGATTTTATTCATATTTTTGAAAGGTAGCTTTGTTCCCAGTAAATCTCTCTCCTACTATTTCTGTATATTTTAGGAGATGTTTTCAATTCAAAAAGAAGTAACATCTAGTTATTTGACTTTTTGTTTTGTTCTTGCTTGAAACTGCTCTGTTTTGGTCTTTTCTTTTTTTTGAGACAGAGTCTCCCTCTGTTGCCCAGGCTGATGTGCGGTGGTGTGATCTCGGCTCACCACAACCTCTGCCTCCTGGGTTCAAGTGATTCTCCTGCCTCGGCATCCCGAGTAGCTGGGATTACAGGTGCCCCCAGGGCCTGGCTAATTTTTCTTATTTTTTTTAGTAGAGATGGGGGTTTCAACATGTTGGCTAGGATGGTCTTGAACCCCCAACCTCAAGTGATCCATCCACCATGGCCTCCCAAAATGCTGGGATTACAGATGTGAGCCACCATGCCTGGCCAGTTTTGGCTTTTTGATTCTTTCCTGGCATTTCTCAAAGTCTCAGGTCCTTTGCAGCCTGCCTAACTGTTAGTCACGGAGTGTTTTTTGTTTGGTGCCATTTTTAACTTTTAATCTTGCTGAGCAAATGCTTGAAGGAACCAAATACATCTGGAGTTCTCTCCCTCTTAATTGTTTAAAACCAACAGCAGACAAACAAGAAAACCTTTGTAAGCATTTTTCTGGCTGTGTAGTATTTCATCAGGTGGATATACTCTTACTTTATGTTATTTCCCTGTTGGATATTTGTTTTTAGTGTTGTGCTGTTACAAAATTATACGCTTCAAACATTCTTTGTATTTTTGCGTTTTTAATTACCATCCTAGAAATAGTTTAGATACCAAGTTTCTAGGTTACAAAGAATGCTGCCTAACTTTTAGAAAGGTTGTGGCAGTTATGTTTTTTTACGTCTTGTTATTTTGTAAGAGAAAATTGACATATGTTTAAATTTATTCATTTCTGTGCTTCTTACTGATGAAATTGTTTTTGAAATCCAAATAACTTATTGATGAATTTTAAAAATATTTATTAGCTGTTTGTAAGAAGTATAAGGTATGACTTTAGAAGATTTCCCCACTTATCTGGGATATATTAAACAGGAAAGACAAAGAAGGACTTAGGAAAGTGATGTTTGGAAATGTGCTCTGTTGACATTATTTAGCTTATTTGAACTTGTTTCAGACTTTTATTCATTTTATTGTGGCACCATCATATTTATTAAATATTCTGTATCTTTATGTATAACATTCTTATTTGGGTGGGGTTTTTTTACAGTACTGGAAAAAGTATATTTAATTTAATTTTCCTGCAGGTGCAAACCCGTAGTGCTGATGAACCAATGACAACATTTGTTGTCTGTAATGAATGTGGAAATCGATGGAAGGTATGTACCCTGTCGGATTCATATTATACTCACTTATAATAGAATGATTTTTTCTGGTCTTTTCCTAGGTCCATCTAGATATCTAAATATATACAGATATGCTCACACTATCCAGTACTCTTGTAGTCCCTACTTGTAATGGAATATACTATTTTGTATCCTACTAGAAATAAAGGCTATTAACTTGACTTTACTATCTTTATTTGTTTTGGTACAGGAAAGAGGGAGTGAATCTTAACTGTTCAATTATTATATCACTGTACTATATATCCTATATTCATTACGTTGTTATGACTCTTTTACTTCCAGAAAATCTGTGCGTGTTTAATTACCAGTTTTAATAGATTTTGATTTTGGAAGAAAAATTTTTCCACTTACTGAAATCAAACCCAATGATTTTAGTGTTTATTTTAGAAATTACAGATGAGCACTGATGTGGTTTGGTAGGCTTTTCACTAAAGCCTTCATATTGCCTGTGTGCTCTTGAAATTAGTCCCACACAGGCAAGTTTATATTATTTAAATGATTCATTATTGAGTGATTCTGTGAACCAAAAGAGTAAAATTTAAATTTGGAAGCAGAAGTACACATCAGTATTAAAAACATTTTAATTATTATTGTAGATGTGAATGATAAGGATGGTGAGGTTCAGAGGCTTACATGGTAGGAATGTAGTCTTTGGAATCATACAGACTGATTTTGAACTCCCTTGCCACTTCCCATTACTGAGCTATATTGTTCTTACATATTAAATGTGAATAGTACCTTTCATTTCCAATTGTGAAGAGTAGAGATAATATATTTAGTGTGCCTGATAATTGTTGGTGTTCTAAAAATGCTGGCTATTTTTATTAGTTTTTCTGAAGTGTGTACAAAATTCTTTTGTTTTTCATTTATACTTACATAGACTTTTCAGTTTAATGCTTTTTGAAGTATTCCCTTAGCTTAGAGCATTTTCTGAAAATCAGAAGTTAACTAGAAGCTATGAAGTGAACTAGAAGCCATTTGGGCCAGAGTCCCAAACCATATTGAGGATATCTATTTGGCTTCTTCAACAACTCCACTTTAAGGGATTGGGGCCAGTACCTATTTTATTCATTCTTTTTTTTTTTTTTTCTTTTTTTTGAATTAGAGTCTCACTCTGTTGCCCAGGCTGGAGTACAGTGGCGCTATCTCCGCTCACTGCTGCCTTTGCCTCCCAGGTTCTAGCAATTCTTCCTCAGCCTGCCAAGTAGCTGGGATTGCAGGCACATGCCACCACACCCAGCTAATTTTTGTATTTTTGATAGAGACAGGGTTTCGCCATGTTGGCCAGGCTGGTCTCGAACTCCTCACCTCAAGTGATCTGCCTACCTCGGCCTCCCAAAGTGCTAGGATTACAGGCTTGAGCCACTGTGCCCGGCCCAGTACCCATTTTATTACGTAAAAAGAATTAGTTCTGAGCTGGAAAGATTTACTGCTATTGAAAGTGTCTTCATGGCTTGAAACAGTATTTCCTCCTCTTCTGAGGTTGCAGAAGCTGTCCTTGGTCTAGGAGGACATTCATCTTCTTTTTCAATCCTGTTGAGCAAATTTGGCCTATTCTCTTGGATTTGTTTTGCATGATGGATCATTTTTGTTTTGGTGATGAGATGTGCAGTGCAGTTTGTTTTGAATACATTCGGTTTGTGACACAAGTTTTGACATAGTACTTAATTGAATTTAAGAAAGCTCAGTTTAGGATAGAAAGCTGATGCCTAGGGTGTGGCATATTTTAACAATTCAAATTTGGAATGGTTATTTTTTTTTACCTTTAAAACATTATAAAGAGGTATTTAATAAAAATGCTAAAATTGTTTTATATAAGTTCTTTAGTTACATGTTCCTAGTAGTTCTAAGTGGGGAAAGTTAGACACTTAAGATAGGTGATTTTCATGTGTGAAAAAATACCACATGTTTTTAAAAAATGCATCTATTTTAAAAGCAATATCAGATGTATGCTGTATTAAATGCGTAATGTACATTATTGGTATTTAAAGGTCTCACAAAATGTTTTTTCTTTTTTGACAGTTCTGTTGAGTTGGAAGAATTGGCAAAATGCCTGGACCATTAAGAAAACAGATTTTGTAATTAGCTTTAAACTAGGCCAAGCAACTAGTTTTCCTGCAAATCAGATTTTTAAAGTAACATACATCCCTTGGGTTAGACTTTGGTTTTGACCTAACATTTCTTCCTTAAATGCCTTCTTAGTTTCAGATTTGTAAGGAAACTATGTAATAATTGTATGGTATCTGTTTCAAAACATTTTTTCCATGTTTATAAGTAACTTGATATTAAACTTTTATCAGTTAAACTTCTGGCAATATTTTTTCTTTTTCTTTTCTTTTCTTTCTTTTTTTTTTTTTTTTAAGATAAAGTCTTGCCCTATTGCCCAGGCTGGAGTGCAATGGCACGATCTTGGCTCACTGCAACCTCTGCCTCCCAGGTTCAAGCGATTCTCCTGCCTCAGTCTCCTGAGTAGCTGGGATTACAGGCATGTGCCACCAAGCCCAGCTAATTTTTGTATTTTTAGTAGAAATGGGGTTTCTCCATGTTGGTCACACTGGTCTCGAACTCTTGACCTCAGGTGATCCACCTGCCTTGGCCTCCCAAAGTGTTGGGATTATAGGCATGAGCCACCCCATCCAGCCAATGTTTTTTCTTTCTTAAAGGAAAATATACCTTAACTTTTCTTTTTTTACAGTGTGAAACATACACAGTAAAAATTCTGTTATTAATACATAAATGAAAGTACATTTTCTTCCATATTGGCATGTAGCTACAAATATTAAAGGAGGAGAAAAGTTAATATAATTTTAGGTTTACCAAATATGGTGTGTATTCAAATAATACTTGACCAGCTTATCTAAAGTGTATGTAATATTTGAGCTAGCTTATGAATTTGATTTTAATTATTATGTTCGCAAGCTTTGAATATTAGATATTATTTTACATTTGTAACTAACCCTCATCATTTCTTGTAACTTCTTGTACATGTATATTACTTGTTCTTAATAGATTTTACTTTTGGGAACAAGGCTTTGTTGACATCAGTTTGGTTTTGCAGTTAATTTACCTGTTTGACTTTATAATGTGTTTTAGTTTTGCAGAAGAATACTGTTGTAGTTTAGAAGGCTTTTCATAAATCCCCTCACAGCCTCACAGGTAAAGATGAAAATTTCCCACTATTTTTTTCCCCTTGTAGGAAGACATACTGGAAAGAATATGTTTAGCATCTTAGTATAGTGTAGCTGTTGTAAACAGTTCATGATTAGATTTTCATTCGGAAATCTATACTGACCAAGGATTAATCTTAAGGTTTGTGTAAATCATTAAATCTGTGGTCTTTTCATGTGGAGACTGATAGAAAATATTTTTGTCTTAAGTCTTATTTGCTGACTTTTTCTGTCAATGAGTGAGATTGTTGAACAAACTGAATATATGGGCTATCGCAAGTAGCTTTATAGTACAGATCTTACAATTAAGTTTTTCTTTTTGTTAAAGTGTGCACCATTTTTTCTGTTTGGAGTAAGACAAACATTGTTTTCACATAGGTTCCTTAGGGTACTATGGAACTTGCTCTAGCACACTTTAAAGGCCACAGTTGCAAAGTCCACATTTTATGCTGAATCATTCTGTCAGACAACCGTAGAAAGACCTCCGTACATGCTTTGCACTCTCCTTTGCTCCCTTTTTCCAGTTTCTTATTTTGTTGTAATACAGAAAGCAGCATTTTTAAATGTCCATGTTAAGAATTGTGCCACCAGTACCAACCCACTTCTATGTTGTCAGTTCTTAGTTGAAGATTTTGTTTTATCATTTCAAAACTAAAGTACATTTTTGAAAGAATGAGTTTCAGAATAAAATAATCTCACTTTTAAATTAAGTGATCCATTTTAAAATTTGTAATTCAATAAAGTTTTTTTTGTTGTTAAACATATATTGTGTCATTTTATTTAGACATTGAAGCTTGCTTTATCTTTTGTTTAACTACACATTCCCTCTCCCCTCAACTACTGAGGTATTTCTAAATTACAGTTTTAATTAAGTTAAGCCTGGGCTTCAGTAAAAACTAGTAATCAGCAGTACTACACACTTTCTTGTCTTTTCCTGGTCCTCTGGTGATGGATGGAGTGGCAGGTTCTGAGTAAATATGTGAGCGCATCCCATGTGTATACTTAATTTAATGTGAGAGACAAAATTGTGAGTCTTGCTATTGGAAAATACTAGACTTTTTTTTTTTTTTTTTTTGAGACAGTGTCTTGCTCTGTCTCCCAGACTAGAGTGCAATGGCACAATCTCAGCTCACAGTAACCTCTACCTCACAGGTTCAAGCAATTCTCCTGTCTCAGCCTCCCAAGTAGCTGGGATTATAGGCGCCTGCCACCATGCCCTGCTAATTTTTGTATTTTTTAAGTAGAGACAGGATTTCACCATGTTGGTCAGGCTGGTCTCCAACTCCTGACCTCAGGTGAGCCACCACGCCTGGCCCAATACTAGACATTTATAAAGTAACTGGAAGTAAATATTAAGGGTAATATTTTATGACATTTACTTTCAGGGCAAAGTAACTGTGTTAAATGAACAAAGGAATTAGACAAATACAGATAATGAAGAACCATCCTATGAAAGCAGAAAATAACAATCTTGGTTTTCTAACTTACCCGAGTGATGATGAGCATTGGTTTGTAAATTTTACTAAGCTGTGGCAAAAATTCAGAAATATTTATATTCCCCCAGACATCTAAACCTATATATACATCTTACAAATGGCAGATAATTTAAGTATTAACAAAAATAGCAAAAGAAATAACAGGCTATGCTTTGAATTTTTATAGCTACATAGTGGTTGTCCTTATGGGTCAAATTGTAATTTGTGGATCTGAATGGACTTTATTTCTCTCTCTTTTTTTTTTTTTTGAGACAGAGTCTCACTCATTTGCCCTCACTGGAGTGCAGTGGCACAATCTCTGCTCGCTGCAACCTCCACCTTCTGTGCTCAAGTGATCTCCCACTTCAGCTTCCCAAGTAGCTGGATTATAGGTGCACGCCAACACACCCAGCATTTTGGTATTTTTAGTAGAGATGGGCCATGTTGCTCAGGTTGGTCTCGAACTCCTGAACTCATGCAGTTCGCCTGCCTTGGCCTTCCAAAGTGCTCGGATTACAGACTTGAGCTACCATGCTCAACCATATTTCTCAAAATAAAAACTACAGTTATAGAGTTGTGATTTAAAGAGTTTTAATCAATAGTTGTTCCCAGGCTGGGCTTGGTGGCTCACACCTGTAATCCCAGCACTTTGGGAGGCTGAGGCAGGAGGATTGCTTCAGCCCAGGAGTTCAAGATCAGTCTGGGCAACAAAATAAGACCCTGTTTCTATAAAAAATTTTTAAAAATTGGCTGGGCATGGTGGTGCATACCTGTGGTCTCAGCTATTCAGAAGGCTGAGGCAGGAGAATCCTTTGAGCTCAGAAGATTGAGGCTGCAGTGAGCTGTGTTTACACCATTGTACAACACCCTGAGGAACAGAATGAGACCCTATCTCAAGGAAAAAAAGCCAGACCAGTGAGATGGCTCATACCTGTAATTCCAGCACTTTGGGAGGCCAATAATGCAAGAGGTTTGCTTGAGCTCAGGAGTTTGATACCAGCCTGGGCAACATAGCGAGACCTTGTCTCTATATAAAATTTTTAAAAAACAAAAAATTGTTTTCTATCTCCACTTTATTTAGTTGTAGAAAATTAGCCATTCAAAATGAATTGTGTATCCCACTGGGAAACACGATGGGGTTAATCACTGAATTACTAGTGAAAGCCACATATGAGGCCAGGCATTGTGGCTCATGCCTGTAATCCTAACACTTTGGGAAGCTGAGGTGGGTGGATCACCTGAGGTCAGGAGTTTGAGACCAGCCTGACTAATATAGTGAAACCTCGTCTCTACTAAAAATACAAAATTAGCTGGGCATGGTGGCACATGCCTGTAATCTCAGCTACTTGGGAGGCTGAGGGAGGAGAATGGCTTGAACCTAGGAGGCGGAAGTTGAGGTGAGCTCAATTGTGCCACTGCACTCCAGCCTGGGCAACAAGAGCAAAACTCTGTCTTTAAAAAAAAACCCCACATATGAAAAAGGACCATCCTTAAGAATGCTACTTCATGGGAAATAGGACAGAGTTACTGACAAATTCCTAGGACGTAATGGAAACATTATGTTGAACAATGTTTAAGTAAATTGAAGTCAGTAAAAAGTAATAGTGAAGTACAGTGGAAAAAACAGCTCATAATCATGGCTATATTCAATAACCAGCAGCTATAACTTAGTAGAGGTGGAGTTGGTAAGTTCTTGTGGGAAATGTGTTCACTGCTGTATCTTTAGCATCCAGAAGAATGCCTGTCACATAGTAGGTGCTCATGAAATAGTTTTTCTTGGATATGTCTTTGTCAATGTGTTACATGTTGTCCTTGGCTCTTCAGGAGCTAAGATATAAAGAAAGAATGTTCCATGGGTTGAGAACCAGCAGAGGTAGAATGGATAGTTACTGGTTGGTCATGTTTTAGACTCCAACTTTAAAATAAGGAATGTAAGGAGTTAGAGTCTTTGGAGATCCCTTTTGGTGCTTCTGCAAAGTGATGCAACAGTTTCAGTGTGCTCCTGTACTTGTTTGTCCAGCTGGGGGATGGAAAATGAAAGCACAGGGAGCTATCTCAGGTGACTTACCTTGTTCTGATTCCTCTCCCTGGATGCTATATAAAGATAGCTCATTATTTTTCCCCTTAATGGCCGTGACTTCAAAAAGACATTTCATATGTGATATCCCATACAGTCTGGTTAAATTAGTCCAAGTGTTTTTATAGTTGGATGACTGAACTACTTTGAAATAAACGTTACTTGTAATGCCAATGTGAAAGTGTAGCAGGTATTTAAAAAGCAAAAACTGAGAGCACTGGCATTGGATTGTGATAGCTATAGCTTCTGTCTACTGAGCATTAGCTCCCAGATACTTGACTAATTAATTTGGGGGCACCTTCACCCCTTCTCCCCTGTACATTACTCCAGGTGGGTCTCATTCACAGTGTCCCCATACCCCATGTGCATCCTTGAGATTCCCATATGAACAGGTACAGCTAAGCCAGCCCAGCTGCGTTTCGGGCTCCCTGCAGCTTTTTGCCTACTACATGCAGAGATCCTTTGTGTACAATGAAGCCGAGGGGAGTTGAGATGGAGAGAGAGCCCTGATAATATCGGACGTCTGGATCTAGCCATGTGGTGGGTCAGAAATAAAAAAGGAAAATGTGGGGTGTGTGTGTGTGTGTGTGTGTGTGTGTGTGTGTACAATGAAATACTACCAGTAAAAATAAGG